TGTTCTACTTGTAACATGTTCAATCCCTATGAGGCGTTCATTCACATGTCCACCGTTATCTAAATAACGCAATACAACTGATATTTGTGCATTCATTGACACGTCACAGATTCATCAACTAGAATAGAAAATAATGAATTACCAATATCTTTGATAATAACATTGATTGTCTCAATGGCACAAGCATTTACTCTATCTTTTTGAACATCAGGTGATGTCAATTTGCAATTTCGAGGAGCATTTCCCAATGTCACGGCATTAATATCTTCATTATGAGCAGTCAAAAATTCTAATAGGACTAAAAAATTACCTGGATTGAGAGAATCATTAGATTCATCATGACCCCGAAATGAGTGTCATTGTCGCAATAGAAGTCAAATACAATTAATAGATGCATTAAGACAGGTAATTTAAGCACTTCTTACTTGTTCTAACTGCTTGTACAAAACTGATTGAATGTGTTGGTCTTGATTCACCAAAACTTCGCACTTAATGCGAGCTTGATTATGTGTACTATCATGTTCTCCAATATGAATATGAAGCTTTTTTTCTCTTTCCAACATGTAAAACCTTCACCAACAGAATACTCACCACCATCTTGCTTTCCAAAACTTAATTTCAAAATATAACAATGCAAACAATAAGCAGCATCTTTTTCTACACTATACTCCAACCAAGAACCGAACTCTTTAAACCAATAAGGATTAAATCGTCTAACTTTTATTCCAAATTGTCATTTTGGAAAGTCATGATCATGTGGTTGACAAGGACCCATTGACATATATACTATTCGAACTTGATCTCGGATGTTAGCAATTGTAATCCAAAATGGGTATCTTTAGACCATGATCAGTTGGAAGTTTAGTGACGTCAAATTCCACATTATTCGACGTCGCCCCAACAACATTTACGTTGTCCAAGTCATTTTTTCTTTGAAAGAATCTCTTCATAAGATTTCAACAATACCCAAATTTTAGCAATTTCAACTCAACAATAACCAAATTTCAGCGATATCTACTCAGTAGTCAGCAATACCCAAATTTCAACAATACCCGATTTCAATTCCATAATAGTGAATCTCTATTGCACACAACACACAACAATACCTAAAACGTAGTATTAATAGAAAGAACAAAAAGTGTCTCAAGCTATTGCCAATAATCCAATTGATAAAGAAAATACCTGACAGTCAGGGACGTGCACTTTCTGATCCTGGCAGTTCGGGCAGAGAGCAGTCAACAGAGGCAAAGGCTGGAGGTGGAGGAGAGCAGAGGAGGAGGGAGACTAGCTTCTGAACCTGAGGGGATTGTAAGCGGCGACTGCCAGGCGGAGGCTGCAACCAACTTACGAATGCGGAGGATGGAGTTGTTGAGGAACGACCGGAGGCGAAGGCTAAGGCTGCGAAGTGCTGGAGGTGGAGCAGGAGAGCGGAGTACGAGAGCGGAGGCTTCAGGTGCGAACTAGGCTTCAGGTTGCAAAGTGGAGGCGGAGCAGGGGAGCAAATGATGGAGTTGTTTGAGGAACGACAGAACGAGGTTTAAATTTTTGGGCTTGGTCTGGACCTGGATGCTAGACTTGGGCCGTTGGTTATAATATACTGGTATTTTGGGTTTCTCCCTTGGGCTGGGACTTAGCCCATAACTAAAAATAAAAAATAAAAAAAATTTGAAGCCCAAAAGTTGAGGATGGGCCTGTTCCCACCCTGGGCCTTACTGGGCTCCGCCCCTGCGCGTTGCGGAAGAGGACTCCTTCCTATTGTGTTTTGTTTACTGACTAACAAAAAGTCGATTATTTATTATTGTATATTTAAATATATATAAAGGTCGGTTAGTTTTTCGTTAAGGGAAATTGGCAGCTGGGGTCCCAAATATTAGCACTTGGGTCTTGGGTCCCATTTCATTTTTTGACACTTGAATCATCGAACACAGACAACGGGTGCAGTTTGGGTCCTTGGTGAATGGTTATGGTCCGCTATCAAATTCCAAGTTCCAATGCATGTGAGCTATATACTAAGGACCTTCTTTCATTTTCCCTTTGCAATTTCCCTCTTCCGTAATCAAGAAGGCCAAGGACAACTTGCAAAAAAAAAAAAAAAATTTAGTGATTTGATGGACTACAAAAGTGAAGAAAGAAAATTAGGGTTGTGAGAAGAAACATGATGACGAAAATGCCCTTATAATTAGCTCACATGCGCGGGTGATTTTGGTCAATGAGATGCTGAAATAATACTTCAAGATTAATTATGACCGGACTCCACTCTTGGTGGTATCCATCTCATCTTGCTTATCTTTAAAGAAGTCGATAAAGACTTTTTTGAAAATTGTATTAACTCATTATTTAGGAGAAGGGAGAGTGGAAGCTTTTCTTTTAAGCCTAGTAACACGGTTTAACTCTAATATGTACGAGTTAGCGGTGTTAATGAGCAGGGCTGAATCGGCTTGATCGTACTCGGCTCGTAGCTCGTCTGAGATGAGTCAAATATGTGCTCAACTCCTCTGTCAAGGGCCAAACTGAGCTCGTGGCTTGTGGGATCGAGTCAGCTTGGCCCACGAGCCCTTAATTTTTTTTCTTTTTTTGTTCTTTTTTTTAAAAGGAAAAATCCTTCTCATTTTCTCAAGGTTTGGAATCGACTTCTTATTTTTTATTAGGCGGAGTTAAAATTATATACGAACAATTTATTACATATACATTTTTTCTTAAAATCAAGCATCCGAAAAAGAACTAATCTCAACGTTTTCATGTAACGGCAATGAAACGTGATGCCAAATGCATTCTTCGTTTTCGTATGATTGAGTCAAGAATTTTACTCCTACGAGTCTTTTTTTGTTTTTTACAAGGTATGTGCTTACCCACTTCTTTCTCCATATAATCAACTTTATTTCATGGAGAATGAAGCGGGTGAACCCATATCTCGTAAGAAAAGACTCATAGAACAAAAAATATTGACTTTATCAAGATGTTTGGCAATTGAGATTTGAAATTTTGAAATTAGATTTGAAACGTTTTTATTAATTTTTTTTAAAAAGCCCTCCTCCTTTTATTGGGGCTTGGGGCCGATTACTTTCGAGTACACAGAATTAATATTATACACGAATAACTTGTTACATTTACATTTTTTTTTTAAATCAAGCATCCAAAAACGAAGAATTCATTTTCCTCAAGTTCCAGCCATCGTGTGTTTGGTAGCATTCCTCATTGCCAATACTTGGACTGAAACTTGAGAAAATGAATTTTTCGTTTTTCTGGTTTTTGGATGCTTGATAAAAAAAGTAAAAAAAAAAAAAAAAGAGTTCATTTCGACATTTTTTCATGTTCTTCCAGGTATCGTCAATGAAGAGTGCGCCAAACACATAAACCAAATACACTTCATTTGTTTTATAGCACACTTCATTGACGTTACTTGAAATTTGAGGAAATATATTCTTCATTTTCAGTAAATTGAATTGTATGAATATAAAACATGAAATATATAAAGTTGTAGAAATAGAATGTGCGAATAATAAATTGAATTGAGATTTGAAATTCTTTTACTTTTTTTCTTTGAAAGTTCTCCTTTTATTCGAACTTGGGACGGACTACTAAAATTTCAAGTAGGCAGAATTATAATTGTACACAAACAATTTGTTGTGTGTACAATTTTTTTGAAATACATAAATTGGATAATTTATAGTGTAGAGAATAAAGATGAAATGTATAAATTGGATAATGTGCAGTGTTTGTGAAGAATAGAATTGAGAGAATGTATATGATAGAATTGTAATAATGAATGTATGCGTATGTAATATAGCACATGTTTGTCTCTCATTCTTTCAAAACTCTTTTTTCCACATACTCATTTTCAATTACACATTCATGCTTAAAATATTCTATACGTAAACTCAAAACTTTTTTCTTATTTTTTAACTACACATTTTCTTAAAAAATACTATTTAAAACAATGTTTTTTCAAAACAATGGCCACCAAACTGGGGCATAATTGTAGAGAGTAAAAAAAAAGTAGAATAAATGAATAATGAAGGAATTATATTGTAGAGACGGTAGAAGAAAGATTGTTGAATTTGTTGTGAGAAAAAATGAATTATGGGTGAGGTATCTATAAAAGAAAAAAAAAATTAAAAAGTTTCAGATATTGTTGGGGACCTTTAAAGTTTGTGACCTTTTTCAAATGATTACAAACTTTAAAAGTGACCAAACCGTTTTGGCTAGGCATTAAAAACGAGTCTGGCTCCTGCTTGTTTGAGCGCCCACGAGTCGATTCGCCAATCGAGCCAACATGCTAGGCTCTTGCTCGGACTGGTCTCAAAACGAGCTCAAACCGCCTATGGATTGAACTTTTTTTAGTCGAGTCAACGAATCGACCAGCTACTCGGCTCAGTTGCCACCACTAGTATGAGTAGTTCCTCTTTAAGAAAGTTTTCGAGAGGGATTCAAAGCGAATTCTACATCTATTAAGTTAGGAATTTCTTTCAAATATATGAATTATGTTAAAGATTTAAAACTTATTTTTTGTACATCAATTGCAATTTTTCTTCTAGAATGGAGTAAGAATGGGTTTCGTTCTAACGCTGGAAAATAATATTTCAAAGTTGTTGTATATTCTCCACTCGAACACTCAAGAAACTCATTAGACAGACATATTCACATATCTTACGTCCTACATAGTCCTTGTCCTAGGGCAGAAGCAATTTGTTCACGAAGTGTACACTTTATCTATGTTTGAGAATCCAAATGTTACTAGAGTTGATGTTTGCATACCCTATTTGCCAATTTCACTATTTGCTAATTAGTACTCCCTCCATCCCATAACATATTGACTTACTTTTTTTTTTTTAGAGAGGTGCTATGTGTACATTATGGGATCCATAATGTACACATGGCAGGCCCCTATTGGGGGGTCAGCTGTACACATGGAAGGCCCCCATAATGTACACGTGACGGCGACGTTGTCGCTGTTCGGCAACAGCGTCTCGCAGCAGAGGTGTGGAGGGAGGGGGATGGGGAGGGAGAGAAGGGAAGCGGCGGGCGGCAACGGTGGAGAGAAAAGTTGAGAGAAATGAAATGAAATGAAATGGATTATGTTAGGGTTTGGATAGAGTTCGGGTTTTATTGGTGGTGGTAGGTAGTAGGGTGAGTATAATATATTATTTTTATTTTATAACATTATTATTAATTAAAAATAATAAAACCTGATTTTTTATTAAAAAAAAGTCAAAACCTGATTTTTATAAAGTTAAAACTAAATACTTGGTCTAGTGTAATTTCCTCAACAGTTAAACACATACCAATACAGCCCCGACCCAGGTTATAGAGGTAACGAATAATTGGGGAAATTAATTAGGGGACGCCGTATTGGGCTGAGCATGTGGATCGACATTCAGGAAATTAATGCCCGTGCACTGGTCTCAGGTGATTGGGAGAAACCCAAGTAACTTTTCAAAAAATTAGGTAGTGGGGACAATTTATTGGTTTCGACTCTGTGCTATCACAGGACAGGGGATTGATTCTTGAGCTTAACTAACTCCACAGGCGCTCATCAGATATTCCACATACAATAAGGAGTGACTTGCAATTCTCTCTCATCACCAGTAAAGTACAACTTCCATTTCTGCGTTGATAATTTCAATTCGGGTTTATTCATCTAGATTCCCTTTTTTTTAATTCTACGGAGTGAGAGGAATGGTGAGGTTTTCTGTTGGTGGATTGGAAGGCGAAGAAGATAGGGATTCCATTAACAGCAAAAGACCCGTCTCAGAGAATAGCCGAACCTCCACCAATGGTGGATATCAAGACAAAGACGAACATGGATCGTACTCAATTAGATTCTCCAACAATAAACCTCGACCCTCTATAACCTTCACCAAGAAGCCTCGATTCTCTATCTCCAGCCCCAGTACTAGCCCCACCACCACCCCCACCGCGGCCGCATGCGCCACAACCTCTGCTGCTCCTCAACAAAGATGTAAACTACATGAATATGGACTATTTGATAGAATCAATAACGAAGAAGATGATGAGGGTGAGGGTGATGATGATGAAGAACCTTTGGAGGAAATGGAAGAAGAATCGCACGAGTCTTCAGATAAAGAAGAGAAAACAGATGGGCAGCTTTCTGTCATATTATCGGACCCTGATGTGCTTGATTGCCCCATTTGTCTTGAACCCCTAACGCTTCCCGTCTTTCAGGTTTTCCCCTTATTTTTTCATCTTTATTTCGTTAGTGTTTTTATCTTTGAGCGTGTCTTTGACTTTCTGATTAGTGTAATTTTCTAGTTAATTTTTACTTGATTCTGTGCTGAATGGTCACTTGGCTCGTTGTATTTAGTTGCAAAGACCATAGAGGATTTTTTTTATTGGATTGCCATATGAAATCATTTCAGTAGAGAGACATTGTAAATTTTGGGGGTTCATGCCTGTTTTGACCAAGTGAATGTGTCATTTTCCTGCCACGAGCATATACTATTTGAATTGTTGTATAACATTTGTTATTGTGTCAGTTGCAAAAATTTGGCAGTACTACCTAAGAATGGACGAGGGAAGACGTGTGGAAATCCCAAATGGTTATTATTTTAGCAGGTGTTCAAGAATTAGAGTATAGGAGTGTGTATTTGAAATTTGTAGATTATTTGGTATCTGTTTAGAAAAAGTTAATCATTCAAGGAACAAACATACGGAAACTTGTATACATCGCATGTTTGTAAAGGAGGCGAGTTTCTCTTGAAGTCGATCAGACTTGAAGCATCCGAAAGTTTAATTTTTTCCTAGGTATGTAAGCCAGATGGTGCTTGACGCATGGTTGTCCAGTCTAATGTGAAATTAAGCTGTAAAGAGTATATTGACTTTGTATTTAACTGATTCTTGATTTTGAATATCTATTTGCACCAAGTTGAACTAGGCTTCATGCTCAACAGTGCATGCATGTAAGGAGATTCTTGCTTCCCTATATACGTATACGTACTTGTACGTTGATATTAATTAATTTCCATGATTTATCTTTTCAGTAGACACTTGTTTTAAACTTGGAGACAAAAATATAAAAAAAATTGATTTTACTTAAAATGTTGCTTATATAATTAAACTACGAGCATCTAAGAGCAAATGTGTAAAATTTGTCATTGCTAGACGGGTACGTTGCATTATACAATTGGGTTAAGTGTTCTTGCAAGGAGTATTTAATACACTTTTCATGGGTGAAACATCTTCTTAACAAGTTGATTCCCTTGAGAACCTATTGCAGCTGCAAAAAAATGGAAAAGATAATAAAAGAAAAGGAGTAGATAAAAAGAAACAGGAGGACATATTTTAGTGAAGAAAAAGGAAATACATGAAGTTGAAATATTCAGCTGGAGTTATTAAGTTCAGAACCTGTTTGACAATTTCTTGCTTCCATTTTCTGTGTTTTGGCATTTCAAAGAGCGATTTGAAAGTTTATGATTTGACATTTTGAAATGATGAAGCTCTATGTTGGGAGTCTGTCAGAAAAGTGAAAAGATTTGAAGCTATTCTTGTCATTCAAAATAAATTATTGTGTAGGCTAAGTCTACCAATACCACACGCCTCAACTACCACGTTATAAGATCGTGATGATTTATATTGATTAGCCTGGAATATTCCACACATTTTTTTAATTTCTGAAAAATAATGGAAAATGCTTTCATTGTTAAAGAGTAAAGACATTTTCATCTCAATATACTAACAAATGACATCTTTCCATCTCCAGTATTCCCATCACTCAAATTCATGTCCTGCTCCCTCGTTCTCACCTGTGAAATTCCTACCAATGTTTCAAACTGGCCATTAGACCCTTAATATCTCCATCAACCCTTAAATGTAAGAAGCATGACCTGTTGGGCTTGTCATGGCAGGTGAAACAAGGTAATTGGAGATTAGGTGAAGTAGAAGGTGGTGGTTACAACAATGGAGTGGGGATTGGTGGCAGGCTGGCAGCAGAAGATTGTTGGAGAAGTTGGAAGATATTATTAAATTATCAGGGAATTGTTGTTCCTAAAATGACCTTAATACTTCAAGCATAAATTAACAGAAGTATTCTGACTAATTAGTCATGTTTAGAACCATGTTATAGTATTGAATAGCGGCAGCATCTCTTGTTTTTGTCCATCTCCCTTGCATTTGATAGAACATTAATATCTTCCTATTTATCTTGACTAGCTGTATATACTTACAATTTTTTTCCATGATTATTTCAATATGTTTGTCATTGCACCTAGCTCTTGAAGCTACGGTACTAACTAGCTTTGTATCACAATTTTGCCGTATCACTCCACTAATATGAGAAATGGACTGGGATATGCAATGCAAAAAGTCACATAGGCTTAAATACCTGTGTTAGACTTGATATCTTTGTTCTCTTATTTGATCATAGATGGAGGCATATATCTAACATGTAATCTTGAACAAAGAGTAAGTTTGGAGCACTGCTTATGAAAGGGGTGTAAGGTGCACTTTGTTTGGCAACATCAGAATTGTCCCTTGTTCCCTTTATGTTATCAATAAACAACATATGTACTTTCAAGCTATGGAACTACGATATGGAGAAAACTGTTCTAACGTGTTTCATTTTTCTGAATTTTAATCTAGTGCGAGAATGGGCATATAGCATGTGCACCATGCTGCACCAAGATGTTACACAGATGTGGAAATTGCTCTTTGCCAATCGGTTACAACCGTTGCAGAGCCATTGAAAAGGTTGTTGAATCAGTCAAAATCGCCTGCGAAAATGAGGGCTACGGCTGCAAACAATTGATAAGTTACAGTTATAAACTTGATCATGAGAAAGCATGCATTTATGTTCCTTGTTCATGTCCTCATCTTGCCTGCGACTATGTTGGCTCCTTTGAAGGCTTGTATACGCACTTTGTGATAAATCATTCAAATTGCTCACAGCGATTTCATTTCAGCCTTACTGTCTCCATTTCCTTTGACAAAAATCAGAAACAACTCTTTCTTCAAGAAAAGACTGAAAGGACACTTTTTGTCCTTAATCGCTCAATTGATCGTCTTGGAAGTTTATTCGATATTGTTTGTATTGGACCAACTTCAGCAAGGAGAAGATACTCTTATACTCTTGCAGCAAAAGATGGTGGAGAGAGCTCAATCAGATTAGAGTCAGTTGCAGATAACATGCCAAAATGGATTGCACACCCTCCTGTGAAAAAATATCTACTGGTTCCAAATGATTTTGTTGGTTCCAGTGGTAGGCTCCAGTTGGAAGTTATCATATGGAGTCCCAATGAATCTCCCGCGGGGAGCTCATAATGTTGTTCAGGCCCCAAAGTAATCAAAGACGTTGATGGATCGAAATTCACTTTTTATGTTCAACTTTGTTTTGACAATCATCGACTATAACTGTAGTTAAATGCTATATGTATTTATGGATCTTCATGTTATTATTAATGATTGAATTGGTTTAACTTGTGATTATGTCCTCTTTTAAGTCTAATGTTTGATAATCTCTGGGAAATTATTTGCTGCTAAAGTTTATATAGGCAGTAGATGATGCTCATACGTCTAGGTTATATTATTTTGAAATTTTGCATCAACTTACAGCTCCACTGGACTGTTCAATTGAAAAAATTGCGGACTTTTTATGGACCTCTCTTCACCTGAACTGAACTTTCTGTACTTCTTTTGGATGTTTATGTTTTTAGGCTTGAACTTAAGGACGGAACAATCCCCTCGATGAAGTGAGATCTGTTGTCCAATTTGCTGTCAATCGAATTAATTGTTGACATATTATTTTTAAATTAACATATCATCTCAAATTTACTCTCATTAACTCACCAAATTAATGATATGTTAATTTAAAATGTGTCAATACAACAAATTGGACAAGGAAAAATTGAACGGCAGATTTCAACATTTCCCTTCATTCTGGTCGTTTTCTTTATTAGGTACCTGTTTGGATGACTTGAGGAATATTATTGTTAGTGAAATGCCACCAAAATGTAATATGATTGAGTAATGATATTTATCATTATAATGATAAAACGTCGGTAATGTGACAATTTATGTGAAATAATGAGATATGATAATTCAATTTTTATGAGAGAGATGGCGGAATTGAACTGTCATATCTCATTATTCCACCTAAGTTGCTATATCATGTTCCATCATTATAATGATAAATAATATTACTTAATACGATTTTCACATAATTTTGATGTAAACGGTATTTTTTAAAGTATTGAGCATATAAATGTTGAATTAAGGACATTCTCCTTTACATTGTTATTAATATTCCCCCGTGTCAAAATTTGATCAATGATGTGATAGTGTGTTGTCGAATTCAATGGTTATTATGTATGTCATGTGGAAGAGTGTCAAGCAAATCTTATGGCAATTATGAGCCTTAGTTGTCTTTAGGCCCAACTTTCACAAGATCCGCCAAACTCGAACCCCAATTAATAGTATTATTTTGAGAATGTGGCATTTTTTGTTTGCCGCTCAATAGTAATATACATGGCAACTTATTAATGGAATATTTAAAATACAGTCGATTTTTTCATCTAATCATAATTTGTCAACACCTATTATGTCAACCATTATATCACCTACTTTCTGACAATGTAGAATTATTCTTTGCTATTTGGATCGTTGGATTGGAGGAATGATCTATGGCGCGACAATTGCTATATATGGGCAATTTGTTGCCCTAATTCCTCGTTATGTTTTCAATCGAGATCTCTATTCTTCTGTATTTTATCTCTCTGATGTCGTGCCTTAAAACTCTTTTTATTTGAAAAATTCACTTTACTAGTGTGTGTTTTGAGAGAAAACTCTATTTCGTTATTGATTTGATTTTCGATAGCACGTAGTGTGCATAAACTTGAGTTTGGTGATAGGGCAGATAAGATTCTGAAATTCTAAACCCTACTCGATGGTAAGATTTTTTAGTGCAATGATTAATTTTAGATTTGCTACTCCATTTTGAGATGTGTGTCCGATTGAAATAGTATAATTATAGTCCTTTCTTTTTCTAATTATGTATTATAGGCTAATAAATCCATTTTTATAGTTTTCGAAAAAAAAAAAATTATTATTATAGAAAAGAAAATCAATTTTTTTTATAGAATGAAGCTTTTTGATTTTCTTCTGTTGCCCTGGCCCTGCGCTGCTTTCTTCTTCTATTTTCAGTTTTTTTAACCTTTCACCTATCGCAATTTATCTACCTAGTGAAAAAATGGGGAGATTTTCAGTGCGTAGATCTGAAGGCGAAGGAAACAGTGACTCGAAGAACAAATGGCCCGTTTATGGAAAACGCAGAACAGACACAAAGAGTGGAGATAGACCCAGCAAGAGAAAAAATGGATCTTCTGTAGCTTTCTCCGGGAATCCTCGATTCTCCACCCCTGTAGTCACCGGCTCCTCTACCGCCGCCGCAAGCGCTACTACCTCTGCCGCTCCTCAATTAAAAGCACAACAAAGAATCCCAGGAAGACAAGAAGAACCCATCCTAGTTAATGAATCTGGGGAAGGAACCGAAGAGGAAACAGAGGAAGAAAGTGAAGAGGAAATAGAGGAAGAAACTGAAGAGCCTAAAGAAGGAGAGTGTAGCCATGAAAGACAGGTTTCTGTAATATTTCCCGACCTCGACTTTCTGGATTGCCCCATCTGTCTTGAACCACTTGGGCTTCCCGTCTTTCAGGTTTTTCCTTTTCCCTTTATATTTTCATCTCTAACTGTGATGTGTTTTTGACTGTAACTTACGAATTAGCGTCGTATTCCATATTTCTTGATTTTAATCCAGTGCAAGAATGGGCATATAGCGTGCAAATCTTGCTGCACGAAGATGAGGAACAAATGTGGGAGTTGTTCTTTGCAGATTGGGCACATTCGTTGCAGGGCCATCGAAACGGTGATTGAATCAATCAAAATCAAATGTCTAAATGCGTGCTATGGATGCCCGGAGACAATGCTTTACAATGAGAGACTTGAGCACGAGAAGGCATGCGATTATGTGCCTTGTTCATGTCCTCAACTTGAATGTAATTATGTTGGCCCGCACTTTGGCTTGATTAAGCACATTGAGGCTGAACATTCAGATTCTTGCGAGGACTTTACTTTCGGTTGTAGCATCAAGCTTTCTTTGGACACAAATAAAAAGCAAGTCATTCTTCATGAAACAAGTGAAGATGTAGTTTTTGTCCTTAATCACTTCATCGAGGATCTTGGAAGTTTGATCAATGTTGTTTGTGCGGGACGAAGTTCAGAAAAGAGCAGATACTCTTATCTTCTCACATCAGAAGATGGAGAGAGCTCAATCAAATTAGAATCATTTGCGGATAACGTACCAAAATGGACTATAAGTACTCCTCTGAAAAATTTTCTTTTGGTTCCGAAGAATTTTATTGCTTCCAATGGACAAATCAAATTGGAAGTTACCATAAACGGAAGGACCGATGGTCGCCTGTAGTTGCATGTGGTTCTTGATGTGCTCCGGTAGTTTGTTTTGATGGATCATCATGGTATCATTAGTGGTTGAGTATGCTTCTGTGTCTAGGTTGCAGTGTTGAACTTGTATGGGATGGACCTCTTTTTACTTAGACATGGCTTAATGGCTACTGCACATATTTTGTTACTTCTGCAGATTAATGCTTCTAGGCTTCTTTATTACATTTTATGCTCGTTTGGATGATTTGGGGAATATTTATAGTGTTAAATTAAATGTCCTTGTATGAAATATGCTCTTCTGATATAATATTTCCTGTAAAATTTTCTAATTCCACCTTGTAATAACTAATCTAACATGAACAAAGTAGTCCACTTAATCTCCACTTGGACTAGATTTATTCTTCTTACTCGTGCTTATTTCCATTCCTTTCGCGGCTTTGCTAAAACATGTCTCATCAAGCAACCTTGATCCATTCTACAATAGTCGAAAACAGGATAAAATCAGTAAATAAATGGCTAAGATTACGGTCTACTCCATCAATTCCTTGGATGAAACGGCTAAGATAACTCTGCAAAGATATTAAAGAAAGTATTCCAAACATGGACAGATCACACAATCAACCGGACAGTTCCCACAGTCAAGGCAATCTTCTGTAATTCCCGTAATTAATTTAGGCAACCTTCTGTCATTAGTTTAGGCCATTATTCTCATAGCTGTACATTACCTAAGATAGAGCAAACTTCACTGTATATATTTCGGTGGAACAGATTCAATAATGAGTGTGTTGAATTACTCTCATTGATATTGTAGCCTTCAGTTTCCATATGGTATCAGAGCGTGAATCCTCAAACGAGTCCACGATCCCTACAATGTCTTCCACAACAAACAACCAAACCATCTTCTCCACTGAGAATTCTCTCGTCATCTTCAACATCACAACACAAATCAATGGGAAACTCACACCCTCCACTTTTCCTCAATGGCGTGCTCAATTTGAGGCACTCCTAATTGGCTATGACTTAATGGACTATGTTACTGGAGAGTCCATATGTCCTGTCTCAGATGGCACTCCCTCATCTCAGTCAAAGAAAAGCCACTGGATTAGGCAAGATAAGCTGATCCTCAGCGCTATTCTTGCCTCCACGTCCACTACCATTACCCCTCTCATTGCCACAGCCAAGATATCTCAAGAAGCATGGAAAAAACTCAAAAATCTGTACGCTAGCAAGTCGCGTACAAGAGCAATGCAATTGAAAGAGGAACTAACCTTGTTGCAGCGAGGCAATCGCACGGTTCCGGACTACCTCCATGCCGTTAAAGCACTCGCCGACGAAATTGCCCTCATAGATAACCCAATTTCAAATGATGATCTTACTCTGCATATTCTCAACGGACTGGGGCCAGATTTCAGGGACATCGCTGCTCCTATTCGTGCGAGAGAGAAATCCCTAGCCTTTGAAGAACTCCATGATTTGCTCGTGGGACACGACACCTACCTGCGTCGTATGGAGACGGCCGCCAAGCAACTTGTTGCTACAACTAATTTCACTTCCAGAAGCCCCAGCTTCCATGGAAGCAATTTCGGAAGAGGTGCTCATCGCCCCAATGGACAACCCCGTTCTTCAGACTTCTCTCGAACGGGCTATGGGCAACAAAGGGACTCCGGCGTCCAAATAATCCCTTGGGCCGTAACTACTCAGCCCAAAAACGTTACCAGCCCAAATGTCAACTATGTGACCAATTGGGCCACACAGCAAAAACCTGCTCTCATTTCCAGCCCACTAAAATGTCTATTAATAGTGCTACTACATCAAATTCTGGGGAAAATAAATGGCTGATAGATTCTGCAGCCTCTCATAATATCACTGGTGATTTATCCAATCTGTCCATTCACTCTGAATACGATGGAACTGATGAAGTGGTTTTAGGTGATGGCACAGGTTTGACTGTTTCACATATAGGCTCCCTCACGTTACATTCACCCACAAAAACATTTCATTTACATGATACACTTTGTGTTCCGAATCTTCATAAAAATTTAATTTCTGTTCATCATTTTACAAAACATAATAACGTTTTCGTTGAATTTCACCCCTCTCATTTTTTTGTGAAGGATCAAACCACGGGGGCGATATTACTAAGAGGGGCGTGTGAAAGTGGCGTCTACACGTTTCCAAACTCTTTGGCGGCTTCTCAATCCAAAATGGTTGCAAATGTGCATGAACGTACTTCAATTGATGGTTGGCACAAACGCCTTGGCCATCCATCACTAAAGATCGTTCAACGTCTTATTAATTTGTTTTCTCTTCCACTTACCACAAAAAAATTACCATCTTCATGTACTTCTTGTTCCATTAATAAAGCACATCAACAACCTTTTGGTTCCACCAATTTTCACAGTCATTCACCTCTTGAAATTATTTACACTGATGTTTGGGGACCCGCTCATTACACTGGCTTGGATGGTTCTCGTTATTATCTCATTTTTGTTGATCATTATACAAAATACATATGGTTTTATCCGATGACCACCAAATCAAGCGTATCAACTATTTTTCCACAATTTAAAACTCTTGTTGAGATGCGGTTCAACTCCAAAATAAAAAGTCTATACTCTGACAATGGAGGAGAATTCATAAGTCTTAAACATTTTTTTTCTCTCCATGGGATAAGTCATTACACAACAACTCCTTACACTCCTCAACAAAATGGAGTTTCTGAACGACGTCATCGTCATCTTGTGGAAACGGGTCTCACTTTGCTTCATGATGCATCCTTACCTCTATCATACTGGCCACATGCCTTCCAAATCGCTACTTATCTCATAAATCGTCAACCCACACCGATTCTCCACAACAAATCTCCCTTTGAGGTTCTTTTTGGTCAACGGCCAAATTATCACAAATTAAAAAAATTTGGATGTCTATGCTACCCCCTTCTCAAGCCATATAATACTAATAAAATGGAGCCCAAATCTATTCCTTGCCTATTTTTAGGTTATTCTCAAAATCAAAATGCATATAAATGCATGGATCCTTTAACCAAGAGAATGTACACATCAAGACATGTTACATTTGATGAATCTAAAAATCTCTCCTCATGGGCTGAGCCAAATGGCCCAAATGGTGTGCCAAGCCCACCCGTGCCTCACAAACCCATCAGCCCACATGAATTTCTTCCTTCCTTCCCTCACACGGCCTCATCCTCCCAGTCTCCCCAAACTGAAAATCGACGTCATGTGCCTTCCTCTCCAGTCCGTTCTTCTTCTCCAACAGCGTCGCCGCCAGAGAACTTGGTTACTGCAGTTGCCGTCGTACCTCCAGGTAATGTCCCCATTCTCCATCCTCTTCATTTTTCCCATGAACATGAATCCCTAGATTTACTGGATTCTAATTCTCGCACCCTCACATCGCACCCTCCCCTAAATGCTTCCTCAATGCATTCCTCACCTGACCACACGCATGCTCCACTTATTGGGTCCATTCAACCTCCTCCCATCACCAACTCACCAACCCGAACTCACCCCATGACAACACGGTCAATGAATAACATATACAAACCTAAACAGCTTCACACTACCACGAAACATCCGTTACCATCACCAATTGAACCTACATGTGTCAGTCAAGCCGCGTCTCACCCTAAGTGGCGTGAGGCCATGTCTGGTGAGCTTACTGCTCTTATGCGTCATGGTACATGGGATTTGGTACCACCACCACCACATTGTCACCCAGTAGGTTGTAAGTGGGTTTTTAGGGTGAAAAGGAAAGCCGATGGCTCAATTGATAGATTTAAGGCCAGACTTGTAGCCAAGGGCTACAACCAACGCCCTGGTATTGACTATAAGGAGACCTTTAGTCCTGTTGTCAAACCTGCAACGATTCGATCTGTGTTAGCAATTGCCGTTATGAATGGTTGGGTTCTAAGACAAATGGATGTCAACAATGCGTTTTTACATGGTACCTTGCAAGAAGTTGTTTATATGAAGCAGCCACCTGGCTTCAAGGATATATCAAACCCTGAACATGTTTGTCGCCTCCGAAAAACCATATATGGGCTCAAACAAGCTCCTAGAGCATGGTACTCAGCCCTTAAAAATGCTATTACTCATCTCGGATTTCATAATTCACATGCTGATTCTTCCTTATTCATCTATGTCCATGCATCTATTACCTGCTACTTACTTGTATATGTGGATGATCTGGTCATTACGGGAAATGATAATAATTTTGTATCATCTGTCATTCACAAACTTGATGCTCAATTTTCTCTTAAAGATATGGGTACTTTGCATTATTTTCTTGGTGTGGAGGTTGTTCCTACACGTGCAGGTTTATTTCTATCCCAACACAAATTTGTTCGTGATCTTCTGGTAAGCACAGACATGTTGGGTGCAAAAGACATCTTCACTCCGCTTTCAACAAGCACCCCTCTTCATCTACTGGATGGTACTTCGACAGTGGACGGCACTGAATATAGGCGTGTAATTGGCAGCTTACAATATCTATCACTAACACGTCCAGACATCTCTTTTGCTGTTAACAAACTCTCTCAATTCATGCATAAGCCTACAGTCACCCACTGGACAGCAACAAAGAGAGTACTTCGGTATCTAAAACATACTATATTTCATGGAGTTCAAATCAACAAGTCAGCGACTCATCACCTAACAACCTTCAGTGATGCTGACTGGGCAGGGAACCATGATGACAGAAAGTCTACTTCGGCCTACATCACTTTTCTAGGCTCTAATCCCATCTCGTGGAGCTCTAAGAAACAACGAGCAGTTGCCAGATCTTCCACGGAGGCTGAATACAGAGCATTGGCCAATGCAGTAGCAGAAACCATGTGGTTGTTATCTTTGTTCAAGGAACTTGGCTTCTCCTTCAAAACTCCACCATCTCTCCTTTGTGACAATCTTGGAGCAACTCACCTAAGTCTCAATCCTGTGCAACACTCCCGGATGAAGCATATCCAAATTGACCTCCATTTTGTGCGGGATTTAGTTCAACGAAATATGCTAAAAGTCAGTCATGTGCATACTCAAGATCAGCTGGTAGATTTACTAACAAAATCACTATCCAGGCAACGAACAGAAACTTTACGAAACAAGATTGGCCTTGCCGATGGAAGCCCAATCTTGCGGGGGCGTATTAAAGAAAGTATTCCAAACATGAACAATGAAGCAAACTATGCCCCGTTCGGGAGTGATTAAAATCCAATTAAAATTGAAAATATGACCGTTATTGGGCCCCATCCGTCTAATAAAAGTCAACAATAACGGCTATATTTTCAATTTTAATCCGATTTTAATGATACCTTTCACGACTATATAAGAAAATTGTTTTTATTTTCCCATTTTTCTTGATTTTAATCGTGCAAGACGTGCAAATCTTGTTGCACGAGGATGAGGAACAAACGAAGGAAAAAAGACACTCAGGACGTACCCACTGGACTCGTGGGGAACCGTAACCAAAAGTAACATCAACATCTCGTGTAGAAATGAATGCTACGGGTACCTAGAGACAGTACTTTATGATGAGAAACTTGAGCACAAGACACATGAATTATGTGCCTTGTTCATGTCCTCATCTTGCGTCGTTACTATGTTGGCTCACCCATTTGCTTGATTAAGCACATTGAGGTAGAACATTCAGATTCTCCTTAGCAATGTACCTTCAGTTGTAGCATCAGCCTTTCATTGGACACAAATCACAAGATATTCATTCTTCGGGAAACAAACGAAGATATGATTCTTGTCCTTAATCACTCCGTCAACCCTCTTGGAAGTTTGTTAGTGTTGTTTGTACATGAAGAACTTCAGAAAAGAGAAGAAGAAGGGGGAGAGATCGATCAAAAAGTAATCAGTTGCAGATAATGTAGAAAATAGACCCCGAATACTCTTGTAGAAGAATTTCTTTTGGTTTCAAAGAATATTAATGCTTCCAATGGACAAATCAAATTGGAAGTTTCCATATGGAGGCCTTGATGATAGCCTATAGTCGCGTCTGGTTTTTGATGTGCTCCACTAGTCTGTAATGATGGATCCTAGTCATGGTTTTGTTAATGGCTGAGTGTGCTTCTATGTCGAGGTTGTTTTGATTTTAATTCATACTTCTTGATTTTAATCCAGTGCAAGAATCTTGCTGCACGAAGATGAGGAACATATGTGGAACTTGTTCTTTGCAGATTGGGCACATTCGTTGCAGCGAAACTGTGATTGAAAAATCAAAATCGAATGTCAAAATGCGTTCTATGGATGCCCGGAGACAATGCTTTACAATGAGAGACTTGAGCATGAGGAGGCATGCGATTATGTGCCTCGTTCATGTCCTTAACTTGATTGTGACTATGTTGGCCCACACATTGTCTTGATTAAGCACATTGAAGCAGAACATTCAGATTCTTGCGAGGAATTTACTTTGGGTTGTAGCATCAGGCTTTCTTTGGACACAAATCAAAAAGCAAATCATTCATCGCGAAACAAGTGTTGATTTAGTTTTTGTCTTTAATCACTTCATCGAGGATCTTGGAAGTTTGATCGATGTTGTTTTTACGGGACTAAGTTCAGAAAAGAGAAGATAATCTTATCTGCTTCTTACATCGGAAGATGGAGAGAGCTCAATCAAAATTAGAATCAGTTGCAGATAACGTACCAAAATGGACTATAAGCACTCCTCCGAAAAATTTCATTTGGTTCCAAAGAATTTTACTGCTTCCAATGAACAAATAGAATTGAAAGTTACCATATACGGAAGCACCGATGATCACATCCGGTTTTTGATGTGCTTCGGTAGTCTGTTGTTATGGATCGTCATGGTAACGTTAATGGTTGAGTCTGCTTCTATGTCTAAGTTGTGTCGATTTGAATTTTGTAATATGCATTAATTTGTAGCTCCATTGTAGGGTTGAAATTGGAAGGAATGCCTTCGTGGACCTCTCTCCGTTGCAATGTTGAAATCGCAAGTTAAATAACCCACAGAAGCACAAAATTAACAGCTCGGTGTAAAATTTATTCATAAATATCAATACATGCGCATCACATGTGCGTCGCACTAGTAATTCATAAAATAGTGAACGAAGATACGAAGTTTGGTGAGGATTAAAATTAGATTTTTAGTGGATAGAAGTTTTTGAAATGTGTGGTTGAAAAGATGTGGTTAATATTGATTGTTTGATTTTGACTTGGATTAAAATCCGGCCCAAACAGGCCCATAGCATATTAAATTTATACAGAGGATGAACAACCTTGAATAATTTAATTCGGGTACTAATTGCACCGAACACTGGTAAGGATTAGATATGGTTGAATTAATGCTTATCCAATCTAATACAGTTTGCAGAATGGAGTATATTATAGTTCTGGTGAGAGATTTGAATTGAAGGTTACAAGACGTTCTTAGTGTCCAACGTCGAGAAAGTGTATGATAATCTAGATGACGTGCACAAAGAGATGTTGTTGAACTTTTGCTTTGGAAAATTGTACGACACGAGGGATATGCAAGTTTCTGCCCAACTAATTTACGACTCATTGCTATGGAGGGTTGAGTCAGTCGATGGAGATGAGCTGTGGTTTTGTTCTGGAGATTGAAAAGCAACATGTTTCTAATATTTTGATGTTTATAGAAACTCCATTTGGAGACTTATAATTAATGTAAATTAGTTAAGCATGATGTACAATGGAGTACGGGGATCTAATATACACATGATCAACTTAATTGAGTTAAATAATGTATATCGACTATTGTAACACGAGGCACCTATTAAACTTATAATTGGCGTAAATTAGTTAAATATAATTTACAATAGAGTACAAGAGATATATACATATGGTCGACTTAATTGTGTTAGACAATGTATATAGAAGCACATGGGGAACTTGTAATCGACGTATATAAGTTAAACATGATGTACAATAGAGCATGATCTTGAAAGCCTATGGTATTTTGGTCCAATCTCTTTTTTATATAATATATATTTTATCGATTTGATTGAGTTAGAATACGTATATCAGAGCAGCACGAGCTGTCTCGTAAATTTCTAATTGATGTAAATTAATTAAATATAATGTACAATAGAGTACAAGCAATTTAATACACATAAGATCAACTTAATTGAGTTAGACAATTTATATCGGAGCACAAGGCGACTAGTAAATTAATTAAATAGAATGTAAAATGAAGTATGAGGGATCTACTATACATATAATCGACTTAATTGAGTTCAACATTGTATATTGGAGGGACTTAATAAACATGTCATTTACTAAAAACGACACTGTCGTTTACTTAAAAACGACTGGGATTTCTTTACCAAATCCATTCATTTATTACAAAATTACCACAACTTGTTCGACGTGGTCGTTTGCAAACATAACAGCATTATATGAATGAAAGCACAAAATATCAACAAATATAGTAACAAACGAAATACTAAATTCATAAACAACCTAAATTGTACATGAAGATCAAAAATTGAACAATAAACACATTAATGAACACAGTCATTTCCTTAAATGTTCACAAAATACACGTGCAATCAACAAGTAGCAGACAATTTCTGATCTTCTACCAACCAACGATACTTGATCTATAACATCGATTGTGACAAGTTATGTTGTACCTGCTACATTTATGTCTTTTAGGAAATTCTCCATGGAAAATTCTATTTGTATAACCGAGGTTGACAACCTCTCACATGTGTGCGGGGTCCGCATGTTTAAAAAATTCAAAAAAAAAACAAAAAAAGTGAACCCCCCATGTGAGAGGTTGTCAATCGAGATTATCAAAAAAAAGTGGATCCCCCCATGTGAGTGATTGTCAACCGAGGTTGTCGTACACGTAGTATAGCTCTTAAGAAAAATGCAATAGACGTACAAATCAAATCAAAACAACACACAATGAAATTAAATAAAAGAGAAATATCTTACCAATACAAAATGTAAAAAAGTTGGGATTTACTTTCATACGTGTTCTTCCTTTAACTTTATCTAAAGAATAAGAAGACACGACAAAAAAGAAGAAGTGGCAGAAGTAGTAACAATCCTAAAAAGTTTAACGATATAGACAAGCTGGATTGTGGTAGTAAAAAAAATAAAAATTAGTACCCCCTCAAGTTATTGTTTTTATTTTTCTATAAATATGGGACTGTTTTGAAAATAAATAAATTTTAGATGTTTCCCGGCCTGTTGATTTTTTCTATTTGAAGCCATCGAGAAATGAGAATAATGCGCCTGTTGGTGCCATCAGTGACACAAATGGAATTCATACTTTCCCAATAAATGCCGATAGCCAATCCTTCACTTCTACTTATCTTGTTGAGAATTGCTTATATGCTTCAATTCTCAGACACACTTCGCACTATACTGGTTTACAACTGAGATATTGGATAAAAAGCTAATACAAATATATTACAATATGAAGTGTTAAAAGGAAAGTCTAGCTAATAGCAGATCACTATTTCATATATACAGCAAAATCCATCTTTTCATAAAAACACAAGGGCCATCGTTCATGCAGTCCCCGAATCATCCAACATCACGACCACTGGCGCGTACTGCACAAGTAGAAAGATTAGTTCAAGGAAAAGTAGGCAAGAAGAAAAAGCTTGTTAAAAATGAAATGCTGCCCAGAATAAAAACCTCATCGTCTTCAAAGTCTGTTTTCGTTGAATTGCCATTCTAAAGAATCTTTGAGCAGCTCTTTTAGTTTTCTCGTCTTCCAAAAGCAAAAAAGAAAATTTCAGTCTTCGGCAGAACTAATACGAATATTGAAATATTGAAGTTAAAACTGGTGCACTTTACTACATTGCATAATATTACAATAAGATCAAGAAAATAACCAAACTTCAGATAATGTTAGGAAGAACTACATGGGTAGAAGTCATTAATTAGTAATTTAGTGAGAAATAGAAGACTCTTTCGCTTAGAAATTGTAAGATGAAATTTTGATTCTGTTCAATGTTAAACCAAAAAGATCTAGAACGCACCCAAATCAGGAGGTCTCCATAAATCACTGGAGCTTCCAGTACTAATGGAAAGAAATCCTGCAATCAAAAAAATCCAGACTAGTAAACGCAGTCATTAATTTGTTCAACTATTCATCATTCAGAAGAAATCTGAAGCTTCCAATTTCTTTAGCCACAAAGAAAAGAAACTTGAAACAATCAATATGGTTGAGTAAATAGGCCTTCACTATTTCTTAAGATGAGGAAAACAAATATTTTGCACAGAGCAAGAAAAGTTCGTGAAAAAATCAGCTCACAAGATCTACAAATTGACGGCCTTTCACTGGAAACAGTATTAGGACCAGAAGACTTGGTTATAAATTTTCTAATAGCTCAAAATTTATCAAGGATAGACGGCAACGAGAATATCAACTAGTCCAGAGAATTACCTTACAAAGATGGTGCAGAAAACTATCAGAAGATAACCAAGACTCATCCAACAATGCTGTCACTCCTTTGTCTGCAGCACTAGTATCCTTTCAATCATTTTTAAATCCATATTTTAACTGATGATAATTGACTTGAATAAACTGTGAAAACGTGACAATTCGAAAGTCATTATATAATAATGCAAAAAGGATAGTGTACCTTAAATGTTCATACTGTTATTCAAATAGATTTAGCAATAAACAAAAACAGCACGCAAGAAAAAGAAATAAATGGCACAAGACAAGAGAGTTAAGAATAGTTTCAGTGTTAACAGATCAGAACAATCAGCATGCAAGAAGAAGAAATAAATGGCACAAGTCAAGAACATTAAGAATAGTTTCAGTTTTAACATGTCAATTGTTCTGATAGGAGAGAATAAGAAAGGCACTAATCCATCAGACCCTGCCTTCATCCCCACACAGGAAATCCTTAGACAAATAACAATAAACTAATGTACTTAACACAGTGCTAAAAAGCCTAAATTGCTATAAATGCTGCAAGCAGTTATATATATGTAGAAATATGGGAATCTATGACATTCAGGGCAAGTAATAAAAATAGAAGACAGTATAAGGGCATATATGTAACTCGAGAACAGCATAATCGAAGACAATAAAAATAGGTGGATTAGGTTACAGGTGGAAAAGGTGCATAAAAATTATTATTTTCCCCTCTTTCCATAAATTCACATGAGCAAACTCACCCATGGTGGGTCAGGTTACACAATAAAGTTTATCAATTCAATCAATTGTAATGGAACCTGCAATAATGCAGACAACATAACAGATAAATTATTCATGGTTTTTTGACGACGCTGAAAGATCACTTTTGAGGAATTATAGATTGATAGATAAATAATACTTTTGAGAATTCAGTAATGTGAATACTTAATTGACCTTTGTGTTTATTAGCCAATGCACTTCAAGCCACCACGTTTTGAGTCTAAATAATTTATACGAAATTCATAAGAATATACAATAGAAGTAGTGTGTAAAATTACCTTTTTTGAATAGCCGACTTCTTGTATGAAGAGGCTGTAAAGAGAGGAACATTCACGTGAGAAATTGTACAAAATCAAAGTTCTTAACCTGCTTCAATGATTGCTATGAAGATATTCAAATGATTACCACGAGAGGCTCTAAATTACCTGGCTGAAGCAACTTACATGAGAAATCTCAAGTTTTGACTCATAGCAACAAAAAAAATTCACGCAAAACCAATAAAGTGCTATGTGATGAATGTACACATCTTATAGATGTTCCTTTACGACA